TGAGCTGAGGAGACCAGCTCTGAGCTGAGGAGACCAGCTCTGAGCTGAGGAGACCAGCTCTGAGCTGAGGAGACCAGCTCTGAGCTGAGGAGACCCGGCAAGCACCGGAAACGCGGATGTTTCCAGAAACATCTCGGGCGGCCGGACGGCGACGCGTGATTCTGTCAGGCAACCCCTGCCAGAGGCACACGGGGCGTCGTGTGTGTGTTTTACGAGAACTGTTTTCGTACAGACACCAAGGCGGATGTGTGCTAGTCAGGACACGCCATCAAGATAAAAGTCTTTTGCTACAAGCCTCTCTCTGCCCATTCCCTCGGTGCCCGGCGTGCGTTCCTCCTCAGAAACATCGGGGCGCCTTTCACAGACACCCTCCCTGTTCTCCAGCTGTGATGGCAGTAGTCTCACTTTCTGACTTAAACCCCCAGCGGAGTTCCACCGCGCCTACACCACACTGTCCACGTTTAGGCTTCTGCTCCCCTGGCCCCCCCACTCCCAGACCTCTCCCGCCCTGTGCGGCCGCGTCTCCCCGTGCGCCCACACCGTGTTCCAGTCACATCTTCTTTCCACAGGGGTCCAGACCCTCTGTCTCAGGCCCTCTGCATGTGCTGGTCCCTGTCAGAAACTCCTTTCTTCTACTTCATTAGCTTTCAGTTGGTCTTCACCTCTAGCGCCACGAGCCATTCCTCACAGTTTCCTCTCACCACCAAGGGCTTCTGCTTATAGCTCACAGTGCATCATGCTGAATGACATGGAATTACTGCTTGTGTAGGTCAAAACAGTAAAAAAAATTTTTTTCTTCAATTTAACAATCTAATACATAGTGCAGTAGCTTCCTGAGACTGACAAATGGCTACAAGACAGGCAGCTTAAAATGACAGAAACGTGGGCCCTCCCTCGTGGCACGACGGGTTAAAGCGCAGCACTAAGAAGCTAAAGCCATGTCAGCACCAGTTCGATCCCCGCCTGCCCTGGAGGTGACTACATGGCGCGGCAGACCTCTCCCGGCCCGCCCGCTGCTCCCCTCAGCAGTGGGCTTCATCGATCTGCCTATTCTGCTCCCCACTGTGTTTCAGGTGAATCCTCTCACCGCCCCCGCACCTCTGGCCTGTACCCCAGTTCTGTATGTATGAATAAATAAATCTCTAAAAAAAAATGACAGAAGTGTACCCTTGCTGTGCTATGGAGGCTGGAAGGGGACCCACCGGACTATGTCTTCCCGAAAACCCAGGAAGGAGCCTCCCGGGTCCTCCTCAGAGCCGCACATTTGCAGCTACTCAGGGGATGTCACCTCAGGTGGGTCTGTGAGTTGGAATCTCTCTCCTCTTTCTTGTACTAAGACACCAGTCACTAAATTTAGGGCCCACGCCAAGCCTCTACGACCCTAACAAGTCACACACAGAACCCAGTTTCCAAGTAAGGCCTCATTCTGAGGTTCTCAGTGGATATCCAGAGGGCGGAGCCTTTTTCGAGGGCAGTGCACAGAGCGCCATTTTTTTTTTTTTTTTTTTGATGGCCTTAACACTGGCTATTTGTATTCTAATGGTATCCCCTCACCCCTCAGGCCTGGTTACCGCTCCACACCCACCTACTATGCCCCAGGCCCCGCCCCACTCAGTCCCCCCTCCTGCCCTCCTGCTCCTCTCCATTCCCTCTGGTCATCACAGTTTTGTAGACAACTTTCTAGGGTGTGAGACCAGATTGGCTTTATCTGCTCTTTTGTTTGGTATCTCCACAGGCCAAAAACTCCTAGTCCAAAAACACAGTCCACAGCCACCCCCCTCTGCCCCCCCAGACCAGATATCCACTCAGAACCTCAGAATGAGAGCGTATTTGGAAGCTGGGTTTGGGTGTGTGACTTGTTAGTTATAAAGGTTTGGGGGCGCCCTCAATTCAGTAGTTGGTGTCTTCATCAAAGAAAGGGGAGTAGATTCCTATACAGACACATCCAAGGTAACACCCCTGATGTTTCAGTCCCAAATCATTTCAAATCATGACATGTGGCCATTGAACAAAATAACGATACTGATTAGACGGCAGAACTAAACCCTCTGGTAGAACTGGGAAATGAAAGATTTTAGGTAATACTCCAGGGTGGGGGAAGGGGGCACGATCACATCTCCACTTGGTGGCTGACTACATCTGTTGTTATGGGCACAGAACCCCCAGATTCCCAGGATGCCGTGAATTTCAAACCCCGGAACCTTTAACCTGAACTGCTCCTGTCTGCCACTGGTGTTTCGAATAAGTGGACACATGAAATTTTGTAAAGGAACATGTTGGGGAAATGGCAGTATATTTGATCAAATATCCTAGAACCTAATAGTTAACATCTGCGAGTTGCTAGGGTGTTACAAAAAGAATCACCTTGCCTCTATGTTTTTAAAATATAACTCATCTCATTCTATTTTGCCTTGGAGTTATTTATACTCCCCCCAGTGTTTAAGCTCCTCTGCAATAAGATTCCATTTTTAATTTACTTTTATAGTGCCTTTTCACAGTGGAAACATAAAAGCTGTGCATTAATGAATTAGAATCCAGCATGACTCAGTCATTCGACTGTAAACTACAAAGAGCACACAAGCAGCTCTTTGGGGGGCTGAGGGGTCGCTCAGCACCCTGCAAATGCTCTCCTGGAAATTCAGGCTTCATCACTTGTGCAGAAGGGCCAGTTAAAGGGGGCTGGCGAGTGACTGCTGAACTGGCACTGTGTTCCCATCTCACTGCTGGGGCTCTCGCCAGAATCTTCCAGAATCAGGAAGGGGCATCTTTCTAACAGCAGTTGCCAAGTACCCTTTGCTCACAGTTCAGCAGCACCACCGACAGGTGGCTGTTCAGTAGCCTGGTCAGGCCTCCGGAAATGTGTACAAACGCGTGCCACAGCCGCCCCCACGGTAGCTGGACCACCGAGTGTCAACTCTAACTGCCCATCAACAGTTGGATGGAAAAGCAGAAGATGGTCTACTTGAGTATTTGAATGTGAGTAATTCTCACATGCTAAGGGAGGAAGCCAGACAAGGCAAAAGAGAATGGTTCCATTTATGAAAAGTAAAAAGATTCCATTTATGTACAGTTAGGGAAAGCAGGCAGGACTAATGATAGCACTTAGTGGAGACTGATGTCGTGGCTGGGAGGGTCTGTGGGGACAGGCTCCTGAGGGACAATCAACACTTCTTCATCGGGGCGCTGGTTATGTTCCCTTCATAAATACTCTGCGACATCCCTTTTAAATCATGCTATAGTTGAGCAAAAAGAAGAAAGGTGGATGACATGGGTGAGCAAATTCACTTAATCCTTTACTGCTACTGATCACTGTTACTTGGACTATTTCTCCTTCTCCCAGTCGTGATTTTTTTTTTTTTAAAGATTTATTTATTTGTGCATACAGAACAGGCCAGAGGTGCAGGGACGGCAAGAGGCTTCACCAGAGACAAAGTGGGGAGCAGAACAGGCAGACCGATGAAGTACACTGCTGAGGGGAGCAGCGGGCGGGTCAGGAGAGGTCTGCCGCACCATGTGGTCTCCTCCGGGGCAGGCGGGGATCGAACTCATGTGGAAGAGGTTTTAGCTTCTCAGTGTTGTGCTTTAATCTGCTGCACCACCAGGGAGGGCCACCCAGTTGTGATTTTTATCTTGTTCAAGATACACGAAGAAGAAAGAGGAAAGAACAGGGACAGGAAGGTGTGAGTGTGAGTGTGTGTAAGTCTGTGCGCGTGTGCAGGGCTGGAACAGAGACAAGCACAAGGTCACCAGGGTAAAGGACAGTATTTGCTGTAGTCTTCAGCCACAATTAAGGTTCTTTAATATGTGATAAAGCTACATTCTTTCTTTTAACCAAATCATTTCCTCACCTTCCACGTAAGCACAGAATGAGATCGTCTTGGAAGCAAGCGAGTGAGCAGTCTGGATTCTACCGGGGACACTCACCCAGCATCACCCATAACTGAAAGTTGCTGGACTCCAAGCCGGCAGCAGAGCCCGCACCTTGGAGTGACGGTGGATGTCTACTTCGACCAAACTATATCCAACATCGTGATTCTTGGATGGAGGGAACACAGTTCAGAGAACCTCAAGGGTTTGTGCTGTAGGTTGAAAACCCTGACAAAGAATAGCACAAAGTGGGAGAGAGGGGGTCTC